AAAGCCTCAGGACTACTTCAAAAGGTTCCAAGCTAAGAGGCTAAAAGCTGATGACCCTAGCAACATGGTCGCCAACACCTATCTCAGGGGAGTAGTCTCCTCGTAAAGAGAAGACAAAGAAGGGTCCCCCTAAGGCTGAATACAGACCGAGCAGCGCCGACAAAAGAGAACATAGGAAAGAAACCGCCAAGAAGCCGACCCTCACTACCCTCAACACTTCCCTCACACAGGTCCTTTACGTGGTCCAAAGAGAAAGATACCTCAATTCCACTCCTCCTCATATGAAGTCAGTTCCTCGATCTCGAGACATCGGGCAATTTTTTCGGTATCATCGAGATTACGACCATCATACTAATAATTACCGAGTCCTCCAGAGAGATATTGAGGACCTAATACAGAAAGGATTTCTAAAGAGGCTTGTCTCTCAGCGAGACAGGACAGAACCTGCTTTAGGAAGATACGACGGGAGGTATAACTCTAGATTGCCTCATCCTTAGCAGCAGCTTAACACATGGACCACTGAAACCAGCTTTAAAGGTGTCATCAATACTATTAGTGGCGGCCTAGTGACAGGAGGAATGTCTAACAATGCTCGGAAGAAGTATACCAGACGAGCATTGCATATCAACATGTGCAACACGAAGCCAAGGAAAAATCAACCCATCTCTTTTAGTGACTATGATTTAAAAAGTATCGAGACACCTTACGATGACCCTCTCATCATCTCGGCTAAGGTCAACGGCTTTCAGGTCAAAAGGAATTTAGTCGACATAGGGAGTTCTACTGATATCCTTTTCATCAATGCCTTTAATCAAATGGGCATTGATAAGTCTAAGGTACAGCCCTATCGACGTCCTCTCATAGGAATCATAGGGTATTCACTCATACCAAAAGGGGTGATCACTCTCCCCCTGATGGTCGGCGAATCCCTCGACAATCTACTGTCCAAACCCAGTTTGTTATGATGAACATCTGGTCGGCCTACAATGTTATTCTAGAAAAGACTGCCCTTAATAGATTGCAGGTGGTACCATCCATGTACCACTAGATGATACAATTCTTGACTCCTGAGGGAGTCAGAATTGTCAGGAGTAACCAATGAGAGGTCAGATCTTACTATCTACACTCAATGACAGGTAAAGGAGTATTAGAGACCTTGCCGATTAAGAAGATACGTCTTCAAATAGAAAAAGTATTAGAACGAGAGTGGACAACCCTTGTCAAAGAACTCCAAGAAGTGTTGATCGATTGAAATAGCTCGAAGAAGGTCAAGATGGAGATGAGCCTCATTGAACCTCAACAAGGGACTATGATCATGTTCCTATGTGAGAATGCAGATGTACTTGCCTAAGGGCCTGAAGACATGTCGGGAATCCCCCTAAAGTAGCGAGCCATGAGCTCTCAGTCGACCGACACATTAAGCTGGTTGGACAAATGAAGAGGCATCTCAGCCTCGAGAGGAAGAAGGAGGCTATCAATACGAAGTCGACTGACTACTCAGAGCCAGGTTCATCAGAGAAGCACAATACCCGGATTGGCTATCCAATACGATGCTGGTGAAAAATCCCTTGGCAGATGGAGGATGTGCATGGATTTCACAAATTTAAACAAAGCTTGCCTAAATAACAGCTACCCTCTCCCAAGAATCGATTAACTAGTAGACGAGAGTACAGACCATGAACTTCTTAGCTTCATGGACGCCTTATCTGGCTACAATCAGATCCTTCTGGTAGATCATAATCAAGAGAAGACCTTATTCATTATAGACCAGGAGACCTATTACTATAAAGTGATGCCTTTCAATCTTAAGAGTGTAGGCGCTACCTACCAGAGGTTCATCAACAAAATTTTCAAGAACCAAATCAGCTGCAATGTGAAAGCCTACGTAGATGACATCCTTGTAAAATCAAAGTAGGTGTCATCTCACTTGTTGAATCTTGAAGAAATATTATTTGTCCTCTGGCGCTACCATATAAAGCTCAACCCGATCAAATGTGCTTGTGGAATGCAATGAGGCAAGTTCCTCGGGTTCATTAGTACTCAGCGAGGCATTAAAATCAACCTGGAGAAGATAACTGCCATCGAGCAACTAACTAAACCCTGCACGCTAAAGGATGTATAGAGGCTGAATGACAAGATAGCGGTGTTGAGCCACTTCCTTTTAAAATATACTAAGAGAAGCCTCCCATTCTTCAAAACTTTAAGAGGGAGCAAGGAGCTGAAGGAAGGCATAGGGTGGATGGCTGAGGGCAGCGAGGCCTTTAGGGACCTCAAGAGATATTTGAGCACCAAGCCATCTCCCCAGAAACCATTAGCTTTGTTTTAATCGAAGAGAAGGATAATGCGCAGAAGCCGGTGTATTATGTCAGCCAGATCCTAAAGGCAACTGAGATCAACTACACCCTTATTGAGAAAGCCGCATTCATTCTCACTACCACAGCTAGGAGCCTTCGCCCCTATTTTTAGGCGCATACCATAGTGGTGCGGACGAACCTACCTTTGAAGAGAACACTTGGCAGTCCAACCACTTCAAGGAGATGATTAAGTGGTTAGTCAAGCTAAGTGAATATGATATGCAATTTGAGTCCAGGACGACCATAAAAGCCTAAGCCTTGGCCAACTTCTTGATATAGTCAACCGCAACAGATGATGAGCCATCTCCACTCATACAGGTTCCCCTACCAAAGACTTCAACGTCCAAGACAGCCAAGACACCCACTTCTTGGAAGCACCAAATCCTCGAACATGACTTACTTGAATTTGCCTCATAGTGGTTGCTAAAGGTAGATGGATCCTCCGGAGAATGAGGTATTGTACCTGTAGTAGTCATGCACAGCCCTGATGGGTCATCGTACGAACACTCCATTGCTTTTGATTTTTTCGCTTTAAAAAACAAGGTCGAGTATGAAGCCCTATGGGCGAGACTTCGAACCGCCTTGGTAATCAAGGCCGAGCTTATCTACATTCTGGCTGACTATTAGCTTGTTGTCTACCAAGTGAGGGGAGAAAATTTAAGAATGATGTTGTACTTGAAGGTGGTCAAAGAGCTCTTGAGCAACTTCAAAGATTTTAAGATCACCCAAGTCCCCCATGCACTCAATGCTACGAGAATACCCTACCCAAGCTCGGGTCGTCTAGCTCAGGGAATAACTTAGGACCTGTGCAAATGGACACCCTCAATAATCATATTATTTTGTAGACTTCAGACCCGGTCATGCAAACCAATACTTTTGTATCTTCACGTATAATAGCGATACTTTTGTAAGGCTCGCACAATACTATGCGGACAACGGATACAATCCTACTTTCTAAATCGCTCTACGGTAATAGGTTTTATCTCCCTATTCCACATACACAAAATAATGATACTTTTGTAAGGCTCACATAATGCTATGCGGATATCAGATACAACCTCCTTACTCAATCATCCTTACGGCAAATAGATTTTATCTCTCTATTTCCGGATTTGTTCATTCATCCAACGGTAATAGGTTTTATCTCCCTATTCCCGGATACGCTTCCAGATGATCGTACAACGGTGAATAGGCATATCAGCCCAAACCAGATTTACATACACTGATCACCTTCGAGTATTTGGTACAACCGAGGTCTCGTTATGGGAACCACAACCAAATACCTCTAGTATGGTACAACCGAAGTCTCATTTCGGGATAAACACCCACACTGAGCATCCATAACTGATGAGTAATACTTTATCATACATTAATTCACCTTCATCAACTCAACTTAATCAACTATCTCAATAATGTGAGTCAAAATAACATCAACTAAGTGTGCGTGTCCATATCTAGTGTTTACCATCATCTCAGTGTTAAACAACTCTTATACATTAAAATAATATAGTACAAGATCGAGAAATTCTCTCAAAAATCAAACAGTGTCGAAAAGAACATGCATAGGCCACTGCCAGATTGGCGGTCGACCGCAGAGCAAGCGGTGGTCTACCGAACAGAACCCAAAACCTCCCAGGCCTCGAACTGGCGAACGGTCGACCGCAAGGTGAGCGACGGTTAACCGGACGCGACATCTACAGAACGTGTAGTTTTCTACACAGGTAGTGTTCGTGACATGATTTTATGATTTAACTTGATTAAAACAATGAATCTTGCATGAAATCATATCAACAGTAGTTTAACATCTCTAGAAACAAAATCAACATTTAAGGCATGATTATTCGTACAAGAAATTATATTTAAACCCTTAATTATGCACAAAACTTCAAAACGAAGAACAAAATATCTAAATTCAGATGAACAACATTTTAAATTGTTTTTAGATCTTAAAGCACTTCTGTAAATTCGTTCTTAACCTCTTTAGCATGAAAAGATCTAGTCTTTATACACATAATATAACAGATTTAATTTTTATACACAAATTACTTAATTAGGCTCTACAAATCTTATTAAAACTCTTTTAAAAACATTTTAAAAATGTTTTAAAAATAGGGAGAGGGATTAGCAGAGATGAAACTCGTCTGAGACTTGTTGAAAAACGTGCAAGATGCAAAGCCAATGTAGATTCCTGATCCAAAAGCCAAAAACCAATAGAAATTCTGCTCAAAAGCCTTGAATCTTCTCCAAAGGTCAAAATAGGATTTATGGAGTGTTTGGTGGCGGCTAGGGTTCTTAAAAATACTGAAAAACTCGTGAATATATTAAATATATATCAGGAAAAACGAATATGGTCTTCAAAACCCGAAACCAACTAAAACTGGGAAAAACAGTTTTCCCGATTCGCAGTCGATCGCAGGGTGAGCGGCGGTCGACCGGAGCACAGTTTTTCAGCTGTGCAGAGCTTTGGCCATTGTGCATGTTTCGACCCGTTTCTCTCTTATGTACTGACTTGTTTACACTCAAAATACTTGTTAGTGTACTCATACACTAATAAATAATATTTAGCAAAATAAAAATCTACTTATGGTAATTAATCACATATTAATTCCATTCATCATTCATAAGTTTAAAATTTTCAGGGTTTTAAAGGGGGAGGAATGGGGGATTAACATGCCCCCATAGTTGAGGGGGACTTTTCTAAAATTAACCCTTAAACAAAAGCATAACTTTATGATGTATCTCTACTTTATTGGGCAACCAACTAAGCTACCTTCAGAGATTCATCATTCATAAGTTTAAAATTTGAAGTTATGTTTTTGTACTCTACTTTATTGGGCAATACTCGTGCGGAAACAACTCACTCTGCCCGCATGTCACTTCCCATGGATCGCTAAGATACTCTCCTGTGCTCGAATGACTTCCCCTCCAGTTGCCAGCCACCATCTAGCAAGGGAAGAAGGTCCAAACAGCCGGCCTATCCTCCGTTTTGTCTCATCTATCTAATCTGGGATATCTCCAAGACGCCCTCTCCTGTGCTTGAATGACTTTCCCTCCTGTCGCCAGCCGCCATCTGGCGAGGGAAGAAGGCCCAAACAGCCATCCTGTCCTCCGTTCTGTCTCATCTATCGAATCTGGGATATCTCCAAGACGCCATCTCCTGTGCTCGAATGACTTCCCCTTCAGTCTCCAGCCGACATCTGTAAAGAAAAAGACGACCTCCAGCACCTGCTGCTCCCCCCCAAAAAAAAAAAAAAACCGCATTCCTATGCATAGTTAAAGCCAAAAGTTAAATCTCAGATGCAAGGGACTATAAAAGGAGGTAAGGGGATAAAGAAAGGAGGACGGAACTTTTAACTTGGGGGAGACTTTTGAACCTTCTTTTTTCTTAAACTCTAAACAATTCTAAAAGGCCATGCATTCTCCTAAAAACTCAATAACAGTAATGAATTCTAGGACCTCAATGATCCTTGGATCTTCCCTCAAACCCTACTCAAGCTCATCAGCTGGCTTGACCGTTGGAGGTACCATGGGGGAACCGGTCCCCGCCCTCTTACGGGTTTCTTCTTCTTGTTTGCGCAGAAAGATTAGGAATTCCAGTCCAATGATCGGGCATAAAGTCGGAGGAGATGTCGGCCCTACCTTTCATCCTCTCCCTCTTCGCAGGCCAACGCGGAGATCAGGACTGCATCCCATGGCGCCCCCCCCCCCCCACACCCCACCCCCACCCCACAATTGTGCTTTACCGCGCATAAAACAACTATTCAATACACAGGAGATCTCCAAGCTATATGGCTTCATATGCAGAAACAGTAGTGACCGGAATTATTCCTTGCAAGTCTGGTATACTGCTTAAGTAAACGTACGATTTAAACAAGTCTGGTATACTGCTTCATATGATTTAAACAGTCACATATCTCGCCAAGTCAAGTCTGGTATACTGCTTAAGTAAACATATGATTCAAACAATCACATATCTCGCCAAGTCATATAACCTTCATATTTTTGAGGCATATATGTAATAATATATGAATTCCTCAGCATCTTATATTTTGATTGATCCTAAATGCAAGCTGACACTTTCTGTTCATTACTACAGCCTGACTATTTTTTTTAAAAAAAAAGTGGCATGAGCATAAGATGACATGAGAAAGCCAACATCTAGAGGAAGAGAGGCCAACATTTGTACGGTTGATCTCTTGTTTATAGCAAACTTCAGTCTGTTTGTATGCAGCCCAATAACTTCGTAATATTTTAGTGAAAGTTCAGGATAGTCAAAATTAACTCCTACTGCGTTGAGATAATCCAGTGGAAGATGCTAAACATGTGCGCCAACGTTGGACTCATGAAAAATCAACGATTAAGGAAACCCTTTTGATTGAAAAAAATTGCAATTACAATGTCAGTCATAATTTAAAAAAAAAAGCAATTACAGTCATAGCTGAAGCTATTTGTCTCATTAGAACTGCATTTGCAAAAAAAAAAGAGAACACTTTTGTGAAAAAAGACTTGCGGTCAATTTAATTGCATATATTTTATGTATACTTACCCTTAGCGAAGAAATTTTCTAAATAAACTCATTCATATTTTTTTTCCCCTAAAAATAGACCCCCTTGAGTTTTATTTACAAAAATAGACTCATTTTATCTTAATCTGGTTCCTAAATAGTCGGGGTTGCCAACCCTGACTATTTAGGAGGTTGTAAACCCCCAATTATAACTCTAAACTCTAACATTCTATTCACTAAAAAAATAGTCGGGGTTGACAACCCCGACTATTTAGAAACCGGATTAAGACAAAATGGGTCTGTTTTTGTAAATAAAACTCAAGTGGGTCTATTTTTAGAAAAAAAATTATGAATGGGTTTGTTTAGAAAATGTCTTCTACCTTTAGCCCATGGAAATTTATATTCACAAGAAATAAACAACTGTAGATGCAATTATCATTTATCACTTGATTTATATGCTGCAAAATCCTCGAACACCCATAAAAGGTTAAGGAAGCTTAAAGAAGCTTCCCAAGGGAGAAAATGTTGGGAATTTTACCGCCTAAATCCCCTAATGCAACGAAAACGCGGTATAGAGAACAGTACACCAAGAACCCTTTCTTTATCTCCCCTCAAATCCCTAATTTGAGAGCTGGAGATCAAAAAATAAAATCGCTGCTGCGATTTTCAAAGGGATTAAACGCTGCTGCGTTAAGGGGCTTCGCCACCGCCGCCAGAGAAAAGTCGGGGGAGAGAGCAGCAGGAGCTAGGTCATCGGGGGGGTTTATAGCCGAAGTTGATGGGCTGGCGACAGCCTGTCGCCAGCGGTGCAGCGGACGCGATGGTGGGGGGTCGCTCGAACGCGAGGGTCGACGAGCTTGAACGCGCGGGTCAGGTCGTTCACACCGAGGGTCGCGTTCGTCGAGCGAGGGTCGCGTTCGCCCAAAGCCACCATCGCGTTCGTCGTCGAATTCGCTGAGTCGACGCTCGCCTGCTCCAACCTGGAGCTCGTCGGAGCTTCGCCGGAGCTCCTCATCTTCGTCGGAGGTTGGTATCCACCCTCAACCTAACAATCTCCCACTTGGAGACCAAACCGACGGCAATGGACTATCTCATCAAGCTCCTCTCCTGTGTGGCTCCGCCTTCATCAACTATGCATGAAGGCCAACTGAAGTTGCACACAACTCCAGTTTCTGAAAGGTCGCTGCCTTCGTCAACATATCCGCTGGATCCTTTCTTCCTTGGATATTCTGTTGAAATCCTTTGACAACTCGTCGGGCTCTGTATCTTCTGGAACCATTCTGCTCCTTTTTCACTCGATACACCCACTTGTTGTGACGTGCCTTCTTCCCCATGGGCAACTCAGCTAGTCCCCATGTCTGGTTGGAGATCAGAGATTTCTTCTCTTCTTTCGCAGCAAACTCCCACTTGCTCGCATCTCCACTCTGACAAGCTTCATCAAAGCTTTCAGACTCTCCTCCATTTGTCAGCAACATATAATTCATGTATCTGCTGTTAGGCACAGGAGGACGAGTAGTTCTCCTCAATAACGGAGCTAGTGCGTCGGGCTCCTGCGCACCGTTCTGTCCAACAGGCTCTTCTGGTTGTGGACCTTCTGCATTGGGTTCTTCCGAGAGGTTATCCGGAACTTCATCTGCATCTACAAATGTTGACTCGCTCTCTGAGTCACCGTCATCTGTCTTGTGCAAGTCCTTGTACATCACCTTCTCGTTGAATGTCACATCTCTGCACCTGATCACCTTCCTGTTTTCGTTGTCCCAAATGCGGTAGCCGAACTCGTCTTCACCATACCGGATGAATGTGCATTTCTTAGACTTGGGATCAGGCTCATTCCTGCCTTGATCACTTATATGCACATAAGCTACACAACCGAAAACTTTGAGATGTGAGAGGGTTACCTCCTTTCCGCACCATACCTCTTCTGGTATTCTGTGCTCCAATGGAACCGATGGACCTCGGTTGATCAAGTAAGCTGCTGTGTTGACTGCTTCTGCCCAGAACTGCTTCGGTAGACCTGACTGCATCCGAATGCTTCTGGCTCTCTCTGTCAACGTTCTATTCATGCGCTCAGCCACACCATTGTGCTGAGGCGTGCCGGGCACGGTCCTCTCCATTCTGATACCGTGCTCATAGCAGAACTTCTTGAATCTGGTGTCTTCATACTCACCACCATTGTCTGTTCTGAGTTTCTTTACCCTCAAACCGGTCTCATTCTCGACCATGGCTTTCCATCTTCTGAAAGCCTCAAACACTTCTGACTTTTTCTTCAGAAAGTAGACCCATACTTTCCGAGAGTGATCATCAATAAAAGTCACGAAGTAGTGTTTCCCACCAATCGACGCGGTGGTTGTTGGTCCCCAAACATCCGAGTGAACAAGCTCTAGCTTCTGCTTCCTGGGGGGTCTGCTACTTGCCTGAAAGCTAACTCTCTTCTGCTTTCCAAGTATGCATTCTTCACACACATCAATCTCTACTGATTGTAAACCTGAGAGTTTTCTCTTTGTGTGCATAACCTTCATCCCCTTTTCACTCATATGACCGAGTCTCTGGTGCCACAGCTTTGAAGTCTCATTGCATGCCGCAACTGAGATCGAACAACGTGCACCCGCTGTCATATACAGGGTACCAGTCTTCCTGCCCCTGGCAATCGTCATTGCGCCTTTCGAAATCCTCCAGTCATCGCCATGGAAAGTCATCGTGTAGCCTTCACTAGCCAGCTGGCTTACTGAGATTAAGTTCCTCTTCAGGTCGGGAATATACCTGACATCCTTCAGCTCCCATACTGACTCATTCAGCTTAATCTTCACTACACCTTTGCCAATAATGGCACATGCTTGATCGTCACCAAGGTATACATTTCCAAGGTTTCCGGGGATATACTTCTCGAGGAATTCTTTCTGAGAAGTAGCATGGAATGATGCTCCCGAGTCCAACACCCAAGACTCCTCCTTGCTCTCCAAAGAGCATATCAGCGCATCATCTCCTCCTGAGGTGGAGGCAACATTCACATCTGCATTTGCCTCCCACTCCTCCCGTGCACTCCTGCACTGATTCTTGTAGTGCCCGGTTTTCCCGCACTTCCAACACTCGATAGCCTTCGAACTGTTGGGATTTCTGGATTTGGATCTCCTATCATCTGATCCATCTCCTCTGGTTGAACTTTTACCTCTTGACTCTGTATGCAATACTGAAGAGGTTGTAGCTTCACCCGACTCTCTCCGTCGGATCTCCTCACTGAGAACCAGATCACGAACGTCGTCGAACTTTAACTTTTTCTTTCCTGATGAGCTACTCACTGCCGTGACTGTAGCGTTCCAACTCTCTGGTAGGGAAGACAAAAGGATCAACGCTCGAACTTCCTCATCAAACTCAATATCAACTGAACTCAATTGGGTCGTGACTGTATTGAGTTCATTGAGATGATGTGCTACCGATGCACCTTCCGCCATTCGCAGATTAAACAACCGCCTCATCAAATGGACTTTATTTGAGGCTGATGGCTTCTCATACATATTGGAGAGTGCTGCCATAAGATCTGCCGTGGTCTTCTCCTTTGCAATGTTAAAAGCAACATTGCGGGTTAACGTCAAACGAATAACCCCGAGGGCTTTTCTGTCCAGAAGATTCCAATCTTCTTCCTTCATACCCTCCGGCTTCTTCCCCGAGAGAGGTTGATACAGATTTTTCTGATAC